GAAGTGTTTTGCCTTTTGCTAACACTACATGCAATGTGATAACCTTCTTGGTGGTCTGTTAGCTTCAGTCTTCCCTATTTTGACTGTCCACTTGGACCAGCTTGCTGACTTCAGACTGCTGTGCTTAGAAGGAAGGTATTGCTCCAAAATGGGGCTTGTGAGGGAGGCAAATCAGTTTGTGTAGTCTAGAAAGCATACACTCAGTGTTTGAGTACTGGTAATCTGAATGGCATGATATGATCTTCTGAAAGTATCTTGATATAATGATGACACCTGACATCTTTTAGTTTTACTTTATTCCTTAATTTTCATTATTAACTTTCTTGATGTGGGTGAAACAGGAGCATCCATACTTAGTGCTCCCAGAGTGGATAGTGTATTTTACCATGCATTCTGCCAAGGAAATTGTGCAGGCATTTCCCAGACTATCAAATGCGTGTGCACAAAGCTTGAAAATGCCTCCTCTGCAATCTAAATGGCTACTCACATCACATAATTATTTATTTGGCTTGAGAATTATTTCTGTAATATTACTGTAAATAACTAAACCCTGAATTCTGCATCTGAAAATGCTTTGATGCCATTATGTTTTAACTGGCTTTAGAAAACCAGCAAGGCTGAACTGAACAAAATTACCTTTTGGTATAAACTGCTGTAATATTTTTCTCCAGACCTGAGATGAAAGTAGCTGTAAATATGGTTCTGAAATTATTCTCCCATCTAGAAGTTAAAAATAGAACTTAAAACTCACTCTAGTTCAGTTGCTTGGGAATTGGGGAAGGAATTAATTGAAGTGCTATGACCTGAGTTAAGCGGGGTGTTATATTTAGATGGTCAGACAAGCTTCTTTTTGCCTTGAAACCTAGAGATCTCAGAAAGTTGTATGCAGCTTCTATAGAGAGAAAATAAATACCCATGTTCATATTTTTCTAGTATTTACAAGTTAGGTGAGATAATTAGAAATTGCAGGAAAATGTGTGGCATTCCAGGGAGAATAATGATTTTTTTCAGTGGTTTGCCTAAGGGCTTTTGATACCAAAATAGTAACAAGATTCAAAGTACAAAGAAGGTTGATTTAATATTTCTTTAGGGAACTGTCCTGAAGAATATGTAACAGTCTGCTTCAGACAAGAAAATGTGAACCCAAAGACATTTTCTAAATACCACATTCTTCCAAGGATTCACATATAATTGCATGACTGCCAATGACAATCGCATTCAATTGTTAAAGAAAAATTCTGGCTGCATCTTTGAACAGATGGGTAAAAATGGGGTATGTATTGAGGCCAGGATAAATTGGCTTGCTTTGAAGAGGTCATCAGATTACAATAATCTTCACTAGCCAAAACAGACCATTAGGCATTTGGAACTATACCCAATACATGTGTTTTTTAGTTTTAAATCTGATCCTTTAGAATATTCAGCTAACTTGCAGAGGCTGTATTCAAGCCAATGATGTCTATGTAGGACATGAGATTTTCCTGTTTGAAGGTAGGATTTAGGGATCATAGACAACTACTAGCTGAAGGAATGCAGCATTTTAAAAAGTGAAATCTAAAAATGAAGAACAAAGAATGCAAGTCTTCCACATGATTTTGTGTGGAATTTGTAGAATTAGTCATGCTTGACACTTCCATATGCAAAATGTAAGTAATGCTTAGCAGCTGTTCTGAAAGAGAATTCACTTGAAGTTCTGTTTCATGAAACTTTTGTTTGTTCCTGTTCATTAAAAATATTTTGGTTCAATATTCTTTTCCTCTTGACTAAATGTTTTGCTATCTCCTGTCTATAATGCAAGAGGCTGAACTGCATCTTTGAAGCTCCTTAGAGGTTTAAGGTGTAAATGGATTTTGCAATTTTAAGTGGAAAATCTAGGAAAAAAAACATTCTTTATCATATACTGCATCCATTTAGTGTTCTTTTTAATATTAAGGATATTTGTTTAAAAAAAACAAAACATCAATTTTTTTCTTAAATTTTCTTAAATTCTTTCTATATTTTCTAAAGAAAAGAAAAATCATAGAATGGTTCTGTGCCTGCAACATTCCATGCTGGTATTAGAGTCTTAGACCCTTTGGAGTCTACCTGCATGGAGATTAGTGAAGACAAGGTTTGACAGTCTATGGAAAGATCTTTGGTGTTTTTTTATGCAAAATTCTACATACAGTATATAAACACATTTTTGTGTCAGTGCACATTTATTACCCCCCCCAAAAACAATTAATTGATGCCACACATGGAAGGGCTGTGGTCCAGGAGTCCAGTCAGTGTGCTGGAACAAGTCAGTCCAAGCACAAGTGAAGTACAGGAGCAGGGGCTGTGTATTTTGACATGAACTCTGACTTTATCCCATATGTCATGGGCTGTGTATGTGCCCCATTTTATATTTCCTGTTGTATTTCTTTTATTTTTTAAATAAATCTGTTTGGAATATGTGTGATAGTGATGTTGTTATGCTCCAGTGTGTTTTTATACCTACCAACCACAATTTTTTTTTCATTCCATGCAATTACAAGTTCTAGGCAGAGATTCATGAATCTTCCTGTTCTTTGCCCAGTGTTCCTATTTCCATGTTTGGTTCATCTCTACCTGCTATATCAGCTTATAGAGACATCAGATCAGACATTCAGTAATACTTGCATTGCAAATATACAAAGAAATGCTGTCAAGTGGTATAAGTATATTCTTTCAAAGTTCATAAAAAACAGAGCCAAAGGGATTCTCCATCTTTTACCAATGTAATGAATCTGGGTGCTTTTTAGCTCTGAAAGTAACTTTCATGAGTTCATTCAAACTTATTTCTCCACAAAATTTGATTTTAATGTTGCTCGTCATTAAAAAAAAAAAGTATATATTTCTTAGCTTTTCAAAAAGTAGCAGGCAAAATAATTTAATTTTGAAACCTAAAAAAAGTAGGTTGAGCTCTGAAAGTAGGTTTGTTTCACCATCCTTCCTTTTTTTAAACAATATAATGAGGTTTGTCTCCAAACTGTATTTTAACTTGTATTTACATGGCTTGCATTCAGAGAGGTGTGTATTAAGTATGAGCAATTTTGTTCTTAGCTGACAATTTATTTCAAATGAGTTTTATTTATTTGTCTAGCTGCAGAGCATTAACAGTATCAACCTATTTTGTCATGTAACAAAAGCATTTTATTTTTATTTTTTAAAGGTTTTTTGAATGATTCAGTTACCAAGTGCATTGTGGCTCTACGCTTGACTGTGGTGGTGAAAGTGAGTACCTGCATGCCTGTGGGAAGCCATTCAGACAACTTCCCCTGTTCAGGGAAAGGAAAATGCATCACCAGGCCAGATGAGGTAAGGTCAGCTTACCAAGACATTCCTGTAATATACCCATTCCATGATAATTTAAACACAGGGCAAATTATATTTGGTGTTTATACCTTGCAGCTGTGTAACAGTGTTGAAAGCTTACAGGTGTTACTAAATAACAACAATATTTATCTCCTATACCTGAGAATCCAGCACTTGAAGTAAGAAAATAACAGAAACTAAAGGCAAATATTCACACCCTGGCCTGGCAATAAAAACAATTGTTCAAATCAGGTATAAGGGAATTTGTACTGCATCTTACAGTCATTGTAGAAGGAAGTTTCTCTTTCTCTAAAAGAGGACCACAGCATGGGCACTTGGGATCTCCAATCTTCAGACCAATGTGCTTGGATTTGTTAAGTTTTCAGCCTTGTCATAGGTTTTAGGTCAGCTTTAATCTCGTGCTTTTCAGTCCATGTCTTAATAATTGCTTACTCAGAATAGACTGACCAGTGCAATGGAATTACCTGACCATAATTATGAGAAGAAACAGATTGGAGTAATTTGGTAGTGGTTGCAATGTTTCCTGTTCAGCTTTGTCCTTTACATCATACTGCACTGAGGGATTACAATGGCAATTCCACTGGACACTGGGGATTTTGTGTGATCTAGCAACATAAGAAAATAAGAACCGAATCTGCCAAATTTGCAGTCTGTATTCTGCTTTTACGAAACCAGACTGGGCTTTTGTGATTTAGATACTATATACTCTGTTACCTTCTATACATGTTATTTTTTTATTTCATGGATTAAATGTCATTTACAGCACAAATATGCACAGTTAATCTTTGGTTTTATTAATATTCATTTGGGAGATAAAAGCAGTAGTAACTGTTGAGTAAATATTAACAGCTGTGAGCCTGCTGTGAGCACAAAAAATTTGGCATATTGAGTGAATTCACCCTTAGTTCATCTGCTACCATTTTCTGATTTAAATTCTCAATAAGCATGTTTGATAGAAGATGGTGTTTTGAATTGTAACAACAATAATTAAATTGCCACAGTAATCTATACATACATGACAGTCCTAACATCTGGAATAATTATCTGTTTTATTTCTCAAAAATGAATTTTGTAAAATGCTTGAGGTGATGTGTGAACATAATTATTGCAAGATGAATTTAGAAATAAATCCTACTTTACTGTACCAGCTGGCTAGTATCCAAATAAATTATTCATTCAGATACAGCATTCTGTTTCATAGTCTAGTTTTGTGCTTTACTGTATTTATAAATTTTATCCTATAAATTCATTGTTTTGAATTTGACTTAAATAATATGTTCAAGTTTGATGCATAACAGCATATCAAAATATTGTTTTTTCCATATTTTTGTCAATTTGAGAATTAAATCTTTTGATAAATTGCCTCATTTCATATATTTTCATGTTGTTTGTCCAATTTTATGACTCTAATTTCTTTCTTTTGTTGCATGTCATATTAAAAAATAAAAATAAATTGTTTCTTATATCTACGCAGAAGAACTAATGCTTTTTTGTATTAAGGGAAAAACATATATGGCTTCTAATAATTATCCACATGTTTTTAATCTTTTAAGAGGTAGCAAATACAGTAAAATTTTCTTTAAAAAAGACAGATTGGCTTCATAGCAAGAAAGAGAAGCAATTATTTAACTCAAAAAAAGATAAAAGTATCTATATGTTCCTACCTGTTATCTTGACATTGGAAGCTTTATATGTTAAAACCAGAACAGGGAGTTCTGCACAGCCCTGCCTTGTGCACATGCAGGGTGTTGTTGTTCCTGGCAAGTGAATAGAAAAAAATTAGGATTGTTCATATTTTTCCACTATTCTTTCTTTGAACCTATTAACAGGAAAAATTATCAAGGCAGTATTTTTGGTATAACGTGCACTAGGCTGTAATTGACCAAAACCCTGTGACTGAAACTGTGGGACACAGAAAGCATTTCAAAATCCACTTCTGAAGAATATCTATTAATTAATGGCAGAGATCAAGAATTAGCAGGATTCTCAATATGTCTAAACATTAAAAAAAAAAAAAATATATAAATTAATGTAAATATATTTATATGACCATAAAATATATTTAGTGATTTGTAAATAAAATTTTAACTTCAGCAATGCAGTTGCTTCTATTTTTACATTAGAATTAATGTAAAATTAACTGAGAATTAGATTTGATTTCTATTGTTGCAACCTACTCCTGAGTTTTCTAGAACTTGAACAAATCAGGAGTGCTTCCAGTTATCCTCTCAAATGCCATCAAACCTGTGCTAGGAACCTGCTGGGCTGGGGTAGCTTGCTAGAACATCAAATGCAGTGACCAAAATGAAGTTAATTTATATCCAGCCTCCTACTCCAGGGGGATTCAAAGTGCCATGTTGTCTTTTTGTCTGTACTGTGTTTCTAAATCCGTGAGCTTTCCTTGCTCTTTAGCCTGTTAGGTGCATCAGAGAACTTCCGACAGGAAACTGATTCATGCCCAGCATAAGATAAAAATAGAAGTTTCATATTTCATTAAGTAGAATGATTTTGCCATTGTTTAACTCAGATTATGTGAGATGTGCTCTAAAATATCTTGATGATTTCCCTAACGATGGAGCAAGCGGCTGCCAAAATGACATACTCCACTTGACAACCATTGTGTCTTTCCCACAACGCACTTCTTTTTGCAGAACATAAACTTTAATTTTCTTTAAATTTGAAATGCGCCCTTTGTGATTTGCTGTTTGTTTTTATCCATAATTCGTTCTCTTTTGCACAATGTAGTCTTGCAGGATGCAAAGCAACTTCTTAGAAGAATGCATAAAAGGCCCAATGCCATGAGCAAGCTCAGAGCTTTGCTGGCTGTAGTCACTGCTTCCAGTGCCAAGAAGATTAATGGTTGTCTTTGGGGTTTTATGTGCTTCATAGTTTTATTTCAAATCTAGTAGAATGTAAAAGAATATAAGAACACATCTGCTTACTGTGAAATTTAAATGTATTTAACAATCTGCAGTGATATAAGCACTGGGGTTGCTGTTATGTATGGAGTGCATATAACTATAAACAAATGAATTCTGGTCTAACCTGGGAGTCTTGGCCAGTTTTTACTCATTCTTTGCTGATCTATAACTTGACTTCTACTCAGCTAGATGCTTTTTATAGAGTGTGGTTATGAGAAGCGAAGTTCTAATGCAAAGTTTTGTTTTTAATTATTGTTGCTTTTGAGTGGAACACAAAATTCATCACTTGGAGTTCTGTGAAGTGAGGCAATGCTGAGCTCAAGTGAGCCTTTTCCTTCCTTTGTGTGAGCTTTGTACCTTTTCTGCTGCCATGCTTGCCACTTGTCCACAAGGGAAACAGAATGTGTCAGAAGTATAGCTCTGGTCTTGGCATCATCACAATACAAATACCAATCTCACATTCATATACTCAGCTTTATACCAGGATGAGTTAAAAGTTAGCAGTATATGGAAAAGTTTTGATGTTAACCCAAAAGGGAGAGATTTTTCTGGTATGAATTTCCGATTTCATGTAAGATTTTGAAGTGAACTTGGGCCATCCATTGATTGTGAGTGCCACAGTTTTGCTTACATAAGTGGTTGTTTCTCTCACAGATTGCTCTGTTCCCATATGAAATGTGGATGGGCTGACTGTGTAAATATGAAATTTTATTGCTAGATTTAGAACCCATGAGATTTACACACAAATATCTGGCCTCTGCCTGCACTGAGAAATAATATATTAAATTGATCAGCAATGGTTTCTGTGACTTCTGTGTGGGCTGGAAGCTTTGGGATAGACCCATTTGATAATAACCTGTAAAAAGGCAGATTATAAAACCCCTTATGGATACCTGAAGGTATGCTGTCCTGCATATGGACTTATTTTCCTAAGTACAGTATGCTCTGAAGTATGTAATTATCATGCAACATTTTGCTCAAAGATTGTAGTAAATCACTATGTGTTGTACTAAATACTGAAAGTCTCAGTAAGAGAGAGTAGACATTAGTTTTGTTCTGGTCACCTTAAAGACTTCTTTGCTAGTAAAAAAGGGGATTTATTTCTCTCCTAATTAGAATAGCAAAAAAAGTAATATATACCAGCTCTATTTATAATACAGGTACAGGTTAGATAATAGCAAACTATATTAAAAATATTTTATTGCCATCCAAAATTATATGATAGATTTGCACTTAATCAAGTAAAATACACAGATGATCTCTTGACTGATAGTAGATAATTTTGGAGTTCTTAGTGACACTAATTCTAGCATAGTGGCAGTGTGGAGCTGCTTCTTGAACTCAATTTTCCTCAAATATACTAGTACATATTATCTATTCAGGAAAAAACAGTAGTATCTATAGGGGTAAGTGATGATAACCTAATCTTCTCTGCAGAATAACTTGTCAGATCTCAGAACTGTTACCTGTCATTAGAAATTTCAGATTGAAGTGTTACAATACTTTTCTTTTGCAGCTTTCAAACCCCATTTTGTTAACTATTCTTTATGGTAAATTGATCCCTATATCAAATTCTTGGATATATTCTCTGAATATTTTTAAATTTCTTATTTCACCATCATTGTTGTAGCAATGACTGATTGTTGCATTGTTTAAATGTATTAATACCTACATCGTAACGATGAGCCTCTAATGCAGGCAGAGCCATGCTGCTTATGTCTCTGTAGACAGCTCACATGAATTATCTTTAAAGATAGTTACTGTGCTATGTGAATATAATAATTTTGACTCTATTTTTCTTGCCTGTCTTTCCTTTCTGTTGAACTACAGTCCTGTTTGGAAACCTGTCATTGGTGATGTGTGAGATATTCAGAGCTGTTTTGTGAAGAGGCTGGGGTAAATTTCAGAACATGTGTAGCCCCCCCTTAAGCCCCCCTTAAGAAGGGCTTCTGGCACTCCTGATAATTAACATGGTTTTGAGTTTTGAAAATGTATCATATTTATCCTTGTACAACTCTACCAGCGTGATATTTGTTAGGAAGAGTGAAATCTGGCGTTTACTGAGTGAAGTTTTTTATTTATGCGAAGATGATTATTTTCTACTTAAGTCACAGATGTTTATTCATATGAAGTAAAACCAAGCAAAAATAGAAGCCCCCATCTCTTTGTTTCTCATTCCATGAGTGTTCTGCACTTTGCATTCCAATGTTCATGCATGGGACAGCTGTGTTCCAGCACTAAAGATCTGGCTTTGAAATAGATGAGAGTGAGTGATGTTGCCATCTAGTGTTTAAGGAACAAAGATTCAGATGGCGTCTGAATGCAGAGGAGAGCTTTCCTTGCTGCTTTTGTTGGAGACCTCGCTGACAATCTTAGTCACCTAAAGAGTTTTTAAATCAGATTTTCATTATTTTATTAGCAAAAAAAAAGTGCCATAGCATGTCTTCTGTAGGTATTTTAAACCTTTGAGAGGTGTAGTGGTCTTCATTTTTATTAAGCAGCAAAGATTGGAAAAGGTAATGAATACACTAAGAAGAAGACATATTTTAACAGAATTGAAAGGGGGTGTTACTGCTGAAGTACCACTCTGGAAGCCTGTCATGTAAACGGTACATATCTGTAGTAGGATTTTTTTGCAGTAAATCTGTACATTATTGATTCTGACAGTTATTTCAGCCTATAAATCTAATTTCTGGAATGGAAGAAAAAATGCATAATGATTTAGCTATTATGGATCTGATCCCAGACTTTTTGTCTTGATGAAATGACCCAACATCATTAAAAATTTGAGCGGAAGAATTGGTGCAGGTTTAGTATTTTAAGGAGTAACTTTGTTCAGTTGATCTATTTATGGCAACTACTGTTATTATGAACAGGAAAACTTAGCCATCTTTGTTCAGAAGTGTATTAAATGAAAATATCATCTTTGAAAATTTATTGTGAAATACATATCATCTTTGTTTTTAGGCAACTTTTTTTTGTGAGTGTGAAGATGCATATAAGGGTTCCCTGTGTGAGGAATTTGATGCCTGTCAGAGCCAACCTTGCCAGAACAATGCAACCTGCACTGATGTAGCACAGAAACACGACAGAAACAATTTCACCTGCAGCTGCCTGCCTGGTAGGTTTTGAATTCTTGAATAATGCAGCTTTGCTTGACATTCAGTGCATATATTTTTGCAGAGCAGTGAGCTGTGCAACTTCTGATACCAGAACAGACAGAAAATGCAACAACAACAACATAAGGGCCGTGGAAGGTTCTTCACTGGTGAAGAATGCCATTGAAAGCACATGTCTGAACCTTAACCCCATGAGGGAATTAATCATAACTAGTGGAACTTTGCCTACTAAAAACACAGGATCAAAATTTAATTTACATCAGCTTTTTCTTTATCAGTGTTTTATTCACAAGTGTTCTGTGACCACCACACATAAGCTTAGGTTTAGCTTTTTGGTTTTTTTTTTAAATAATTTTTCATAATTTTTTTTAATATCAAATGTCTAATGTCATTCAAATGTCTCAATCATTGCTAATTTCAGTGGTTTGTGTTTCTACTCATAATCATTTTATCCACCAAAATTTGTGTCCACACACTAAAAAACAGTCTGGAAAACTGACTTTGAAAACAAAGTTTTCATTTAACTTTGAATTTCTAAAAAATATTAATTTCATATGAAAAATATAAAAAAAAATGCATTTAAGAGTTTAATTATCTTATATGTTTTCAGATGCAAATTTCAGAAACATTTCTATGTGAATATAATTATGTTTCCCAAAATCTGATAGAAGGAAATTTTATGAAGTTAAGTATCATTACAAAATGCAGAGGTGTAACAATTCTTAGTGTGTATCTCACCAAAAACCTGTTTTTTCCCCCCCTTCTCTGGTGATTGTTTAGTACCTTTTCATTTCTAGTCCCTGCATCATACTTGGTATGCTATTCCTGAATCATATTCTCTTTCAGATGGACAAAACATGCACTATAGGTGGTAATAAGATAGGCTATATTTAAAAATGTGTCATAAGATAGTCTCTCTAATGAGTTTTCCTGCAAGCTGTAATGATGATTGCAGGAAGTCCAATTCTTGCAGCAAGATTCAGAGCAGCACAATCATTTCAGCCTTTGTGCCACATTCTTTTGGATACATGTTGAATTCCAGGGTAATTTTGAACCTTCCCAAACTTGGTAACAGTTCAAAGATAAAAGAATGTTTAAATTATGTTAGCACATTCAATACTGTGTTACAATTCATAAAAATAATCAGCTGAATGTGCAAACTAAAAAAGCTGTGAAGTGTATAGATGAAAGAAGTCAGTGGATGCAGTCTTCTATAATACTTCATTGTTGCTTTTGTAAAATTTATGCGAATTTGAGACCAGTTAGAATTGCAGAAAACCACTAGTTTTCCAGAGTGAAGCTAAGATCCCTCCCTCCAAGTGCTTCAACCCAGTCAAGAGGTATATAAGACCACATATAAGACCACATTTCTGGCTTTCAACCTCATTTTTTCCCTCCAGTTTAGGTGATTTAATAGAATCATTTTACAATATACACCAGTTTCTTTTTCCAGGTTTTGCATTGCACAGAATGGTTTTATAATTTAGCTCTCTATAGTATATAAAAGTGCAATGTACACAGAAAGTCTCATAGATGCTTTTCTGTAGTAGTGTTGTTGCAGCTCTAACAATCTGTGTTGACAGCTATTTTATGGTGACATCATAAATTTAAACAGGTGTGGGTCTTACTGTATGCAAAAAGCATACCAATTTTGATTTTGATTGCATTAAAAATAATTATTTAATAAAATTATGCATTCTCCCTCTCCCCATTGTTTGATTTGAGGGGGATTTGTCCCCTTTTTCCTTTTTCTCCCCTGCATCAGCTAAATCCTATCCATGTATGTCCTCTGTGTCACCTTGGGGTCTTTCTCTTCTATACCTCTTCATAGCAGTGTTCATCTGGTCATAGTTTACTAGTCTTTAACACCAGTCACTTGGTTAAATAGGCTCATTATGGAAGATATTCATAGGTTTTTGTAGGGTTCCTTTTAAAAAAAATACGATGTGTCTGTGTGTAGCTTGTAGTTTTTTCTTCAGTCATGCATCCAATATATTTTCTTGGAGGTAATTGAAAATTAGAAAAGGGGAATGTGTGATATTTTTTATGAAATTTAGGTATGGAGTGTAGAATAATTTAGATTGTATTTTAAGTTTGTTCATTTTTTGGGGATGTGTTACAGACATCAGACATATGGAACAAAACAAACTTATGGTCAAATAGTACAGTACACACAATCTGTAGCTTGTGAACTTATGGAAGCTTATTTGGAAGAGTTTGCAACTGTGCTGAGCAGTTCTTCACAGCTCCCACTTAAAATAAACACTCTTTTTGAAGCCCAGAAGTAGGAGCAAATGACAGTCATTCAGCATATGCACAAATAATTCATAGTGTCAAGTTCTGTTTAAAGTCTTGCTAAATATTATTGACTTGAGATTCAAGTTGCATTTAAAAACCATTCCAAAATGGTTATTTTTTGGTTATATGAGTACCAGTGAGGACCCAGTATCTATGACCAAGTCACTAGTCATGTCAGAATATTGCTGTTGGTAAAATACAAGGGATGTAGACTGGAATTCTGCTGTTTTTTTATGCTTCTCCCCTAAAGCATACGTTTTAATTAGAAATATCATAAGAAATGAGAGACTGTCCTCTATTGCTTATATTGGTTAATTTGGTTTAAGAAAAGTAATGGTACTATTTGGACGGTCAAGCAACATGTTTAGTGGTAAACCCTTGTTTTTGCTCCATCTTCTGAATATTGTGAGCTGTTTTGTAGGCTACACTGGAGAGCTGTGCCAGTCAGAGATTGATCATTGCATCCAGCAGCCGTGCCAGAATGGAGGGACCTGCTCATCCCACCTCAATGGATTCAGCTGTCAGTGCCCAGAAGGTAACCAGCAAACACATCTCTAGCACCTCATACAAAGTGCTGTTTTTCAGGGTGTACTTACTCTAAATTTTAAATTCTATTGACATGTAGATATGTATATTTAAATGTTTTTAAAACTGTGCCTTAGCTTGTAATTGTAAGCAGAAAATATAACCAGATGAGAAACCTTGGTATAATCAGGAGCAGGATGTATGGGTGTATATGTGGTGCAGAAATGTTCTTTCGCTCTACAATACAATCAGGCTCCAATACTGATGAGAAAGGTGAATTTGAGGGGACTCAGGGTGTGATCTGATTTTTATGTTGTCCACTAATTGTGTGAGAAAAAGATGCCTCCCTTGTAGTATGTGCACATTTCTGTACATGGGCTGGTTGGCTAAAATGTGTGTAAAAGTAAAAACTACAGGAATTATTTAAACCCCCCAAAGTTTTAATTAATTTTCCTTTTTGTTTGGACATATTACTTTCTTGACATGAAAGCTTCTCGCTCATTCACACTGGTAAAACCTTCTAAATGTGAAACAAGGACACCCCAATGCCAGTGTGCTTTCATAACACTGTTCTGACTGCAATGACAGATCCCTAAATTGCGCATGAAAAAATTATCATGAGTGGAAGCTTTCAATTATGAAGCCTCCTATTAGTTATTTATAATTAAGATTAGAACTTTGAACTAATTATACTTCTGTCCTTCCTTGATCTGTGGATGTTGGTTTTGTTCTGCCAGCACCTTAATGCTTGCTCTAAGGGTGCAAGCCTTTGATAAACTGCTCTGGTAATATTACATCTACTTGCTTAATAATGAAGATTATTTGTTGTTTCTTCAGCAGATTCCTTGCTTTTCTAGAGTGTTATGCTTTACCACTTAATTGCTTTTGAAACACAGACTGATGTATTGACAACCGTGCAGATCCTGCACGTGGAAAATTTTTGGAAATTGTTTCCCTTATAAATAGTAGTGAAATTCAGGAGAAAAATATTAGATGTTAGACTTGGTCAATAATTTACTTGCAATTTTCTCAAGAAATCTATTCAAGAATCTTTAGGGATGCCCTGCAGGAAATGATCTTTCCAGTAACGCTGGGAAGAGCAGCTACAGGGATTTTTGGTTGTTTTATGTGTGCCATACGTGTTTCCGTGTGTGGCTCATTAACTGCTCGCTCCTGATTGCTGGTAATGAATGTGCTGATCATACCTCAGCCTGCCTCCTGCTGCCAGGGTCACTGGTGGCCTGAGGGCCCCGGGGAGCTCTGCTGGGCTGTGCCAGGCGCCGTGGCTGTGCTGTGGTGCCGGCAGCAGCTCCCAGTGCCCTGCCGAGCGCTGGGCACCGTGCGGGGCTGGGGCTGCCCCCCTCCGGCTCGGGGATCCCGAGCCAGGGCCAGGC